GTCTCTTGGTCATTGCTCTGTCTGAAGTAACAGTTTTTGATCACGTTGTAGCAAATGTGGAACAACTTGTTTTGCTTTTCAGATTTTGTAGGAATGAAGACACATTCCTGTGCATCCTGGGAGAAAACATACATAAAAGGTAAGTTAATATATATACATGTATAGAAAATCCCTCCAATGGCATAATCAGTAAAAATGACTTTTATAGATGAGCATCTCACCCCTTCAGTGTTACTTGCTCCAGTCTCCCCTCGAACCACCCTCCAAGCCAGAGATCCTGAGATGCGACCTCCCAGCTCTCCAGAAGTAGAAGTTTTGGGAGAAATAAACTCCACCAGCTCTACCAGGAGTCTTTGCAACAGCTGCTGCTTCCTCTCTGCTCCTAGAGACTGCTGCCTCTAAAGGTATGAAGTGGTAATGACAGTCAGATTCATTTATTCGAGGCAATAATGAAAGGAGCTGCACTTTGGATGAGGGCATGAAAATGACAAACGTACCGTAGCATTGAGACCGTTAAGCTTATGAAGCAGCCATGTCTCCTGTACCTGTGTGCGTCTGGAAAGGACCTCTGGGTGTTTACAGGAGTACCTCCATGTCACATCCACAACCTGGTCCTTAGAGAATGCCAGGATGTAGGAGAGTTTCTTCCCCCAGCCGACTTCATACAGGAGGGGTTTATCGCATGTGTTCTCACAAGGGTCACAGTGTAGCCAGCGACGCTGTGACTGAGAATACACCTCAGTCCACACGTGATCTGAAAGCAGGACAAAACTGAGTTTTTCTATTCCCAAATTATATCACTGTGGTACAGTAATGCTGTAAGATTTGTACCTGTGCTGTCCCAGATATATCTGGCCTCGAGGCCTAAGGCTCGGCAGAGCAGCGTGAAACAATTGGCCCATTCCCCACAACGCCCTTTCCTGGTCTCCAGAAGCTTCTCTGGGTGATTGTACCTGGGAAAGGGAAAAAAAGTCAATTTGCAACTGTATTGACATGAATAACATTGCTCTTTCAGAGTCACATGGACTACTTTTGTGCTATTGTTGTAATTTTGATACAGAATACAGGATAGAAAGTCATACAGATTTGCAATGACATAAGGGTGAGTAAATGATGACAACATTTTTGGGTGAACTATTCCTTTATGCCTATTTATTAAAGGGGTCATGATTGGCCAGCTATCCAGTGCGCTGTGATTGGCCGAATACCTCAAGCGTGTGACGGAAATGTTACGCCCCTACCATACTGTGATGCCGTGTCCCGGAGTGACGAGACAAAAACATTGAAACCCATTAGAAATGAGGCTGTTATGCAAATCTTCCCACACAGTGACGCAGACATGTGGGGGTGTGTTTAAACGAGGCGTTTTAGGAGGTCGTGGACCAGTCTTAACTTTTATAAAGAATATCTCTTTGGGTTTGAGACTTTAGTCTTTGCAACTTTAGGGATCTTATCTATTCACGAACAGCTTGTAACACTCCAAAGAGAAAGGAAAACTTGAAATCGCATCATATGACCCCTTTAATTCGATAGGGAGAATACAGAATAAAATTCCATAGAGGATATTGAATCTTCAAGATATGTACTACATTGATTGACAGTGTAGCTTGCTGATAGTAATGAAAAAGCCGATGTACCTTGGGAATCTAGTGGAGAGTTGGCAGGTGTGACAGTAGTGGTTCTCTACACGGCCTGCATCCCAGCGTAGGTCATCATTTGAGGGGAGGAGGGATCCAGAAGGCTGGGTTGCACCTCCACATCGACTGCATGGCAGATTGTCCACCCAGGAAAAGAAATCCCCTTTGAACCACTGCAACAGGTCTAGAATTAACATGTCCTTCTCACCTAGAGTACACACTGAGTGGAACACAACACATAAACATTAGTCTGGTGCCTTAATTTCATCCAGGTTTAAACAGATTTTTCAAAATGTCTTTGTATAAAACTTTTAAACGAGGGGAGTCATTTTTAAAAATCCTATTCTAAAGAATATCAAAATGTATTTATATAAAACTGTCAAACTGATGTAAAATGATAGCAGATCTTGCTAACCTGGATCTGCACCCTTGGCTTGTTTCAAGCGTTCTTTTGCTCTGGTTCTGAGCAGTTCATGAGGTATGCAGTTCAGAGCCTTCTGCTGCAATTCAGGGCTCTCGTATATCAACACATGCTGGAAGTTTGACTGCAGAGTCCTAAGAAATGTCACGCTGCTTGACTAATACGCCAGAAAACAAAAAGGAGAAAAGAGTATGAAAATGCTAGAATCAAACATTTATTTTACACATGATTAATTTAGCTGTTTTAAGTGGTAGTGCAGAAAGCTTCAGCTATAAATGGAAAATCAAATTCATGATATCATCCTTAAAAAGAACCTGCAAATAGGACCCTAACCCTATAAAAAGAAAACTGAGAATTAGGAAGAAAAAAAGAGACTCACTGTGAATGGCAGAGCAGCTGGTGCAGGTGCAGGTGTAGGGACGGCAGCGGCAGAAGAAGCGGAGGGTAGTGGCAGTAAGATTTGTAATGTTTTTTAAATAAGTCTCTTCTGCTCATCATGGCTGCAATTATTTGATCAGAAATACAGAAAAAACAGTAATATTGTGAATTTTATCATCCTTAAAAAGAACCTGCAAATAGGACCCTAACCCTATAAAAAGAAAACTGAGAATTAGGAAGAAAAAAAGAGACTCACTGTGAATGGCAGAGCAGCTGGTGCAGGTGCAGGTGTAGGGACGGCAGCGGCAGAAGAAGCGGAGGGTAGTGGTGGTGGGGCAGGACTTGGAGGAACTCTGGCACTTTGTTGGCTGGATGCAGCTTTACTCGCACCAAGTCTCTGGTCCCTTTCAGCTGCAATTGTCTCCCGCACCTGCCTTAGCCTCTCCACAGATGCAGACTTAGGAAACACCAGGTGGGTTTCAGCCTAACATGGACACAAACAAAAAGCAAATCTGACATGTTATGATGCTTGTGTATATGTATATATATAAAACTGTTATTACAATCTTAAATAAGTGTTTTCTATTTTAATCTATTTTAAAATGTAATTTATTTTTATGAAAGCTGAATTTTTAGCAGTCATTACTCCAGTTTTCAGTGTCACATGACCCTTCAGAAATCATTCTAATATACTGATGTTGGAAACAGCTGTGCTGCTTAATATTTTTTTGGAACTTGATACTTTTTTTAGGATTGTTAGAAAAGATTTCAATTTTAAATAAATGCTGTTCTTTCTATTCATCAAATAATCCTGAAAAAAGTATCACAGGTTCCAAAAAATATTAAGCAGCACAACTGTTTCCAACATTGATAATAAATCAGCATATTAGAATGATTTCTGAAAGATCGTGTGACACTGAAGACTGGAGTAATGACTGCTGAAAATTCAGCGTTACATCACAGAAATAAATTATAGTTTAAAGTATATTAAAACAGAAAACTATTATTTCTGTATTTTTTATATATTTAAATGGTCATATGCAGGGCACCAACCTCCTCAAATCCCATCTCAAAGAGACATTCAACTGCTCCTTTGACAGGTAGAAGTTTGGTGGAAAATGTTGGGTTTCCGATACGGATTGATCTGTATTTATCCTCATTTGGGTTTCTACAAAGCACACATACACAAAAATCAAACCAGACACTGAAAAATTGCTGAAGAATGCGATAGAAATCATACGTAGCCTACAGATCGCGTACAATATGATGAATGTAAAATAAGGAATTCAAAAAACAAGATGGTTGGACAGACTGTCTGATAGACAGCATACCTACATACAGAAGAGACTGCCAGTTCCAATAATCAGGCATAACAACATTCCACCCGGCACTGTGTGTCCGGAGCAACTTCACTTACCTAAGAATATTGTCCGCGTATGTAATGAGCAATTTAGAAACATCCAAAAACACTTCTGTGGGATTTTCACACAAAGCAGTGACTCCTTGAGACCCAGACATGGTTATACATTTAACTTCTATTAATACATCCGCGAAAAACAACACGTAACAGTCTTCTACTGAAAGTTGCGAATTTCTAGCTGTCCGTTTTGTGCCTGGTAGATATATTCTAGAAAGAAATACTGTCGATTATGCTCTTTTGTTGTTTAATTTTTCATATAACCATAAAATAAATTAAATCCCTTTAAACATATTTTAAGTGCACGTTTTGGTACAACAGAACCGTCTGCGTGCAATCATAGATGGACAGGCGATCCCAGAGCCCTAAACAAGCGACTTCAGAAAGGATGGCATAATAAACGTTTTTTTAAAAGTCCTTACCGTCGTCCGCTATTTTATTATTATTTTATTAATTTACAGTTGTTACATTGTGCTTGACATCAAAACACAAGATAAGGCGTACATTTCACAGGATATAAATATACTATATAATACAACAATTATAATAATTGCATAAAATATTGCGATAAAAATAATACCACGTTTTTAAAATGTACAAAACATTGCTAAAGCTAATAAATACAAATACAAGTATAGAGATATATTTATATACAAATATAGAGATAATAAAGCTTTCAAAGAATGAACGGATAGGCATTGAATTGAAAATATGTGTACATAGGTGAACTACTGAATAGACATGAATGGATATGTACAGTAATTAATAGAACATTTAATAATAATGACACACGCCCTGTTTTTGCTTTTATATTCATACAAAATGCTCCAATATTGTTTGAGGTCGAAAAAATGTTAAATTTTATGTGTAAATCCATTTCCTTTTTTTATGTCTATAATATTGTTACTATTACTATGAAGCGAAGTTAAATATTTTTCTGTTTTTAATTATTATACTTTTTTGTTTGCATAACTTAATTTATACCTTAACAAACTGTAAAGTGTTGTTCTGAATTAACAATTGTTCTTTTGTCTAGTGTTTATATTCACATGCATATAATTGTTGTTATCAAAAATTCTTAGCAAGCATCGGTTGTGCACTCGTTTCGTATGACCAAAAAATGAATCCAATTTCTGAACTGATCTGGTTCACCTACTCTCCTAACAGCTGATCTCAGATCTGCCGGTAACTTTTTCATCGCTGCTTCTTGTTCCGGCCAATAAGGCGCGAAGTTACACAGCCCAGGTAGCGTTGCCATCACATTGAGGGGGACATTTTTAAGTTTGAAAATAATATCTACATCAAGAATACTTTAAACACGATATTATTTAGAATGACTATTTGATCAGACTATATGGTATATTTAATAAGCTATATGATATACTTTCGTTTAACTTTGTGATCAATTTCCAGCGTTTGTTTGCAGAATCGGCTACACGTGGGAATTTGTCTGTTCAAAGTTACGCAGGATCTTTAATACGGCGAAAAACAATGGCAGAAAAACCGATGTGGGAGCAAATCGGCAGTGGATTCGTGCAACACTATTATCAGCAGTTTGATACAGATCGCGTGAAGCTCTCCGAGCTGTATGTAAGTGAATTATTGCGAGTAAAATGACTGACAGCGAACGCGGGATGAGTTTAGGTTCCGAACCCGTATTATTTTGTTTTAATCTATCCTTATTGTGTTTTAGCTGTAGTTTTAGTACTCCATTCTAAGCCTGTATATAAATTATGATATCACACTTTTCTCCTCTAGACCGATGCTTCCTGTTTGACATGGGAAGGAGAGGGATTTCAAGGGAAGAGTGCAATCATGACCAAACTAAGTGTAAGTTAACTTCTTTTACAGCTGTCATTACTGTCTTCCTGATTACTTCTAACAGAATGTGCCTGTTTGCAGAGCCTTCCCTTTCAGACCATTCAGCACATCATCACCGCTCAGGACCATCATCCCACTCCAGACAGCTGTGTCATGAGTATGGTCATGGGCCAGCTCAAAGTAAGACTGCATTTATTAAAACAGATCTGTTTTATCAGACAGCTGTCAAAATTTAGATTTAAATAGTGGATTTCTGAAATTTTGTTCAATGACAATGATATCTGTGCTGTTATATGTCTTAAAGGAATAGTTCACCCAAAAATGAAAATCTGCTCTAAATGCACTCCCCCTCAGGACATCCAAAATGTACATGAGTTTGTTTCTTCATCGGAACAGATTTGGGGAAATTTAGCATTACATCACTTGCTCACCAATGGATCATCTGCAGTGAATGGGTGCCGTCAGAATGAGAGTCCAAACAGCTGATAAAAACATAACAATAATCCACATGACTCACAATGACGTTAAAACGCCTCAAAGACATGAATCGATTGACAAAAGGATTATTGTGTTTTTATCAGCTGATCCAAGTCATGTAATGCTAAATTTCTCCAGATCTGTTCTGATGAATATACAAACTCATCTACATCTTGAATGGCCAAGGGTGAGTAAATTTTCAGCAAATTGTAATGATTGCGTGAGCTATTCCTTTTAATATGACTGTAAAAAAACACAAACATTAATATTGTTTTTGTATAATTTTACAGGCTGATCAAGACCAAGTTATGGGCTTTCAGCAAGTCTTCTTGCTGAAGAATGTAGATAACAAATGGGTCTGCACCAATGACATGTTCCGATTAGCTCTTCATAACTTTGGAGCATAGTATGTAGTATTTACAGTCCATGCAACTTTTGTATCTGGAGTATGGCTTCACATTTCACATTCCGAACAGTTTTCGTCCTATTTTGCCAAGGATCTTGAAGGTTCACGATCATCTCCAGATAAGAAAAAGACATGTTAGAAACAACTGATTATAATAATCATAATTTGTATGTTGTGGCATGCACTGTTTGAAAACAACTTCAGTTTGATAATAAATCTCCTGTTAGTACAATCCATCTTTGAATGCCTATGCATCATTGTTTTAGTAAAATGTCTTTGTTCCTGATTTATGATAATCTAAATAATAAAAAACAGATTTTACATTAGTGAAACAATCAAGACCATGATAAAAGTATGAATACTATTGAGAAAATGGCATCAGGGAAAGGAAAACGTTGGTGTCAGTTTATACCGGTCCTGACTGTATTTGCCTCAGAGGGTCATTAAAGTTCATATGAAAACATTTGTAAACCAAATAGTTCTGGTACTGGGTGCCGATTGGTCAATAAAGTATAGTCAAATGAAGTGGTTTATTGTCATTTCTGTGTTGTCTGCCACAGGAAGAAACAAAATACAGTGTCTGTGGAAACATTTTACATACAGGTTCAAGACTAACAATTTCAAATACAAGTACGTAAAAGATAAATACACCACAAAGTGTCTTTTCACTTATTTGCTGTGTATATCACTGCACAGCACCCATAGAGGGCGTTTGTATTTTGAGTTAAGTGGTCAGTTTGCGACATTAAGTTAAATTGTTGGTCGAATGTTTAGTTATGAACTTTATCTTGTAGTGGAAGGATGACACTTGAATTTGCTTAATATTTGAATGAAAATTTGTGTCCATAATTGAATTTAATAAGTATAATATAGGTACTTATTTTTTGAACAACATTAGTTAATCTTCTAAAACATTAAGAATGAAAATTATTTTACGTATAACATAAAATTGCACAACTTGCTAGGTTAGTACTATTTTAGCCACTAGGAAATAAAAATACTCAAGATTTTCTAAGAAAGTCAACCACTTTTCATCACCTGTGGCCTGACAACCCTTAGAAAACTGCACACAAGGTCTCCGATATAAAGAACAATCTGTGAACTAATTAGTTAATTTTGGTGCAACGTACGGAGCATGTTACAATGATCGCAATCATTATACAATATTGGGTCATTGAATACAAAAAAAATCCCATGATTGCTGAAATTTGCTTTATTTATAAATATTTTTTACATTGGATTGTGACAATTTTAAATTAAAAAAATGCGAACAAAATTGTTGTGATCAAAACATACATTAAAACAAAATGGCTTCATGTGTATTGTCTAAAAGTAACTTTTTGTCATGCTTTAAAAAACACTTGTGAATCGTTAAAAATTCCATGCACCGTCACTGCAAGTAGCTTTAAACCGGTTTTTCATAGGCCTTTGATTGTTTAAATTACTTGTTACCCATTGGATGAAGACTAGTGGTGTGATATGACTTCAGCGACAAGACCCCTCCCATCTTGTGCCGTTGCTCAGCAACCAGCTGACTGTCCAAGGGGCCATCTAGTGGCTATGCCTGTGAATTACAAGTAAGTGCGCCCCCTCGTGGCCAGACCACATCTAAGAAAATGACTCATTATGATGAATATTTGAAAGACTGAAACTAACCACAACTGGACTAGGTCCAACTTAAAACTTAGACATACCACTCCACGTGATTACCACTGAAAACCAGCAGGGGTGATATCTAAGGAAGTTTTTCCATTTCAAGCATACTGAATTTCGATTGGCCAGGCACGCAGTATGATAATTATGCCCTGACGTAACTTCCCAGTTGTTCAATGCGCCATTTTCTCGACTCTGAACGGCAAGCACAATAAATGAGTCCTACTTGCAAATATTAATACATACACTTCATTGCTGTTTCCATAGTTGAGAGCGCAGAATTATTGTTTCAACATCCTACACCGCTTCCACGTCTTCTATCATCGGTTTTGGCAAGCACGCGGATTGGAGAAAGTAGCTAACGTTAAATCCCCTCCCTGAGTCGGTGTGGCGCTGAAAAAAGGTAACGTTAATGTCCTCACAATTCGTTAGCAGTGGGAACATTAGCTTCGGCGTTCAATTGTTGCGGGTTCGTAATGATCAGGAAGTAGAACGAAGCCAATTAGCCAAAAGCTGCGAAGAGGTTACTTTATGGCATCACTGCGTTATTTAGAATCGCGCATTGGATGGAATCCGTTGTTTTGCGATTTGAAACGATTCCTGTCGAATTCATGCTGATGTGGGGCGCTCGATACATTACATTTGACCAGTTAAGAGTTACGTTAGACTATTGTTTCGAACATTTCGTGTGCTTTGGCGGGAGTGGATATGTTTGGTCAGCGCTCGCAGTCGATGCTTGCAATAAATAATTACAGCTTGAATTAGATGTGCATTTAGGCGCTCTCGGTATGATAATGTAAACTTGTGCTGTCAGAAAGTGTTGTATTTGACCGATGCAGGGCTAAGATGTGACATTTTCTGTCATTGCAATGCGTACATTTAGCATGTGTATTTCCAACATTCGTGAATACAGAGTTGTAGATAATACACGAGGTAGTAGTCCTCCATGTGAGTGATATGTGTTGTATCATTTGCTGCAGTACTGAATTCAACAGATTTTGGTGTTATAATCACTGCACGTTCAACAGGCACAGATGGGCACCTATGACCCATCATGAACATTAGAACCTCTTTCACAACAAAATAAAATAATTACATTTTGGAGGACTATTAAAGTTATTTTGCTCTTCTTTTCATGACAAGTTCTCCCCCAAATTCATATCAATGCCAAAATCAAATTTTCGTTATTTGAATAATTGAGTAATGGAGATGTGACGACCATCCAGGGTCAGATATTTATCGGGTCAAAAATGACAAGCTTCCCTTGATAATTTTAAGGAAACCAATAACATGCATTTTAATCA